TTCTTGCGCACAGGAGTAGCAGTGTTGCCGATTCGCTTATCGACGCTTTTGTTATCTTTAATTTGTCGACAATACGAGTGCTCGACCATAAGCTCGCGCAGCGATGGCTTGACTATCGCGTATACCTGAACAATGAAAAGAGGCTGTTTGAGCGTGCACACTTGACGGCCGGCGATTTCTGGCTAGCAAGTGCTAACGATATGGTCTACTTTAAACAGTGATCTTGAATGGAGTTTCATACCACGGGAGAAATAATGCAATAAGTCATGGCGAGCTGATCGACGTCTTCGTTCAGAAAAGATTTCAATAGATTTGGCTGCGATGGAGCTGCGCGCAGAGAGTCCGGTGCTCCTTTCTCCAGCGTTACGAGACGCACTTTCCCTTGAACAGGCGTTGCTGCCTCGACCGTTCGCTTAGCGCCATCGGAAAATATCCTAGTCGATAGTTCGAGAAGTGCGTAAGCGGCTATCAGTTCGTCCTTGGTGTACTTGCTCCTCGTTGCGACGTCGAGATCTACTGCAGCAAACATTTTTCTTCGTGCCGTGATGTTTTGCTACGGTCGGTAGTGACGACTACAGTCATGCGTGGCTTCGGCATTAATGGACTGTTGAGTGGCCCTGGGATTATTCCTAAGAAGATCTAGTCTGATGGGAAAAACGCGTAGGTCTCGGATTAAGGTAAGTCGATGGAGGACTAATCGATACTCTGATTCAATGCAATTTAAAGGGATTAACGTTGTGCGATCTGATTACACAATCAACGGATAGTTCGTCATGCAACTCCTACAATTCGTTGATTCAATTACGATCCTTACAAAAGACAATCGTTTACATTTCTCGGTCAAATTATTTTTTTGCTTAAAGTCATCGTTCTTCAATGCTTAATTATCAGGAATAGAAAACTACAATTGTTAGCACTGGAAACGAGCTCGATCGGCAATAGACTTTCGCCGAGTTTTATGTTTATTATGATACCTCATTGTGGGGACAGTATTATTAGTGACGTTTGTAGTACGTTGCCTAACTAATGCGGGAAAGTAGAGTCTTGTCTGGTGTGAGGTTGACGCCCGAGCGAAGCGAGGCTGAAAAGGCACACGAGACACAAGAGTCTCTTTGCCAAATATGTTAGCTACGATACTTTTCAAAACAACGCGTGGAAAGCCTGCGGCAAACTCGTACTTTCCGCTCGGTCTGTTGAAAACATTGATGATTAACCCAAGTCGAACGATCAAGAATCCGCCGTGAAAGAAACCGATTGAAAAACATCGAAGCGTCGATGAAAAAGTATTACGTCGGATCGATTGCAAACTCATGGATGATTTGAGCCAGATAGAAAACTTTGACCGAAATTTAATTGTGTCGAGAAAATGTTATAATACCGTATATGCGATAAACATCAATTACCTAAAAGATAATCAAAGTGCATTATCATGTTGTAGGGCGCAGCTGCTGGTAATCAGGCAATGAAGTTCTGAGGATTGCGGCATCTATTATCAGCGACTGCTCAACAGTGTATCTCATTTGCAGTCACTGCTCGTCCTCGGACTAATACAGGTAATACAAGCGTCGTCGTCTGGCTCATTATCGGCTGACCGTCCAGAACCCTCACTAAATCGAGCAAGCTGGCACCGCTACAAACACGCTCATCCAGTTAATTTGGCCTCTCATTCTCCTTTTGTTAATATTGCCGTCGTGGACGTTTGTTTACCATTACAAATACGACGCATTTGCGCTTCACAAAACCCTGCCAACTTCCGTTTAATCAATTTTAATTAGTATAAGACATTTCATTGGAAAGCTTGTTAGCCGCGTTTTAAGAAATTGAGATTTGATTTACAAGCAGAAACTTATCTTCAATCAGAAACTCACTTCGTACTTTCATTTTATATCTTAGCCGTATCGCACATGTGAATTACTTTAATCATATTCCACTTGTATTGCTGGACACAAAAATTGTTTGATAAAAGCAGCAAGCCTCCGAGTAGTAAATTATTCAGAAAATAATAATTTGAAATGAGATATCGTCATGAAAGAATATATGATTCAATTGAAACAAATGACGTATGCGATAAAAATATCGAATTTGAGATGTGTGGGAGAACGATGAAAGTACAAGTTGTTTTGACATTTTGCTATAATTTTTTATTGCTGTAAAGTTAGTATTATACTCACATAATAAATAACATATCTGTTACAAACGATGCATTCTTTTTTGTTTAAATTATAATGTAAAATCATTTTAACTATTAACAATTTTATACACTCGATTCACGTGTATTTATTTAAAATTAATATAAAAGGATGTCGTTAAAGTTGTCATAAGTGTGCATTCATTGCTGTAGTACAAAACAATTTGCAGCGCTGCAAATTGTACAAATGCTTTTTTTTCTTCCGAAATACGTGCTCTAATAGTGGTTGTTACATTGCAGTACCTGAATCGTTAAGTATTAATCAGTCTTGCAAATGGGCAAGTGTATAGAACGTGTGTTATTACTGAAAGTCGTCATTTTCTGTTAACGTTAATTTCAAAATAGTACTTTTATGTCGTCTCGACAGGCTTTCCATTACTTTCAGCCCGAAATTTAAAATTAGGATACTTAAAATTATCGAACGAAAGTTTACAAGACAATCAAAAAATTCATTTATTTACACGATTAAAAAGCCAAGAGCGTATTTCAAATGCCATCGATCACCTTCAATGATTACAAATCAAGAGAATACGCGTAAACAATAAATTCTCTTAACAAAATAAAACTGATTTGAAAAATCAAACGGTATTTATGATTAAATACGTAGAAATACATCGTTGAAATGCGTTCAACGCGCAATGTACAGACAAATATTCTCCATGGAGTCGCTTCATTTGATTTTTCACTCGTCATTGATACATACATTGCATTGTAATAGCCGCTGAAACAATGCTTCTCCATTTAATCGATCACACAATGGAGCGAACTGACACATTTGATTTGTGAGATTAAAACCGACAGGGAAAAGGGACGTACGATGGTGGCGTACAATGCAGGCTTATAAGCGAGTGCTTAAGCAGCATCGCTCGGCCAGCAAAGTCGACGTTCAATCGTGGACCTTTGTACAAAAACTATAATTAATATAATATATCTATTTGTCTATATAATAATTTTATCTACCATGTTGAAAACAATGACTTCGAGTTTAAAAATGTCATTATGAGCACAAATAACATATACGAAGTCTTCAAGGATTTTTGTGTTTTTTTTCAAATAATAGGAATTGATGGCGTGTCATAGAAAAGAAAAGGATCAACTGAAAAGAAACTGCTAAAAATGTTTAATACATAGTCTCTATCGCTTAACATATTTCATACTTATTTGTTAATTTACCTCGTATTTTTTCGTTACAACTATCGCCCTCTAATAAATTCTGTACATTACAAAAGTATAGAAACAAATAAATCTATTTGCCACGCTTCGCAGTATATTGTAAAAATCGCTTCATGGCATGATTTGCATTTGCTTACTTTACACACGTTTTGTTTTATTTTTTCATCATTCTGAATTTGTTGTTCGAATTTTAAAAATTTTAGTAAAGCGAAATCTTGTCAAAATCACTGTTCACCCATGGTATATTTCTTTCATATAATAGAATATACTATATATATAACTATACACCTAAAATAGTTAACAAGACAAGTTTGTAGCTCGAATACGCGACGAGTACGTGTTTATATTTTTTTTCATCGTAGCTTTTCTTTGAACTAAATCGATCAAACTTACATATTTTAAGTTTATCTTAAGTAATGCGTTCTTTTATTCTCTGCGATCTTACATTTAAGTTGTCTCTCGTTATAGTTTCGCACTTTTGAGGCGCTTTCTTTATGTTTGCAGTTACATCGAGGCACACAGGACATCGAGAAATGGCTTTTACTTGTAGTTTCTTCACAGTCGCATTAAGCTACGCACCTATTTATATTGACGCAAAATTATTATGTGATCCGGATATTTCGCGCATAAAATTTTTGCTTAGTTATGTGCAAGATTCATCATCTATTTATAAAATGTAATCGACTGTATTATTTCATTGCAATGTTTTTTTTATTTTAATTTAACTCTCGCTTGATTTTTTGAATTCGTACACAATATAAAAATTAATCTACAAAAAACAGTATATTCCAAATTAATTTCAATTACACTTTATTTAGTTGGAGAGTTATTTACTCGGCTGTAATAATGTAATTTTAGTTTAAAGCAATCTTACATCACTTTTTTTACGCAAAGTTACGCGTAAATTCATTTACTGCAATGAATACAAATTGGAATTCGATAATGTAGTTTGCTTTTAAATTGTCTATAAGATAGAGGATTCACTGAATGTCTTTTGCTAAAAAAGTTGACGTAGAAAGTTATGTATTTCATGGTATTATTTTTATTGTAATAGTATCGCACGCATATGGTCTTCTTTATAAATATCACATCTATAACGGCGAAACTCTACGTAACTTCTATCTGTAGCAAATATGTAAGAAAAATTGTATTCATTTTCGACAAAACTGTTGCTGGCTTCGAAAGGACGGAAGCGGGGAAATTAAATACATTGTGTGGAATGTACTGATTTAGTCACGTAATACAAAAATGTATCGTATCGCCTTAGTCGTACGTATTACGTTAACATATAAAAAAACTAAAAAGTAAATGCGTAGTAGTCAGTTAGACGGTCGGTCTTTATAAACATGTATCTAAAAGGGCACCAAGGTGTTTATTGATTGTGCAAAAAGGTATCTTCTTTCAACAAGAGTTGTATCATCGACCTGCTGAGTAGATGAAATTTTCGAAAAAGGAGCGGAAGATGTAGAAAGCTTTTTTGTCGTCATAGTAAATGCTAGAGAACTTTTTTTTTCATGAAAAAGTCAATCGAAAATTTTTTTTTAGTCACTGAATGGGTAGTGTTTTTGTTACGTATCATTTGTTGAAAAAATTTTCATTAGCTTACGATAATATAAGATTAATTTGCTTGCGTGAAGCAGTACGATGTATAAAAATCTATATTTTTTAAGAACTTTTATAAAAATCTGTAGTTATAAAAATCTATTGTTTTGTCCGTAATTCGATATAGAATCAGTGGATTAGTGAAAAAGGTCAAAGCTACATTCAAAAACTGACTGAATAGACGCGTAAACGTTATTTTAACTTTCCACTCCTCCATGGCCGTCCTTTTTCATCCGATAAAAAATCATTTATATTCAGCAAGTCATGGTCCTCAAGAGTAAGTCAGTCGTATTATTTAAAAAAGCATCTCAGAAAAGTCCTCTGTTTCATATATAAACGCCGTCGTCATACAACACGCGATCCTTTCTCGTCAGTGAAAAACAGCAGCAACAGCAGCAGCAGTAGCAGCAGAGGCGGTGGCGGTAGTATCATTAGTAATATCCCGGTCCTGTGTCCCTTACATGGCAACAACGATAGTACTAATAGTAGTAGTAATAGTAGTAGTAGCAACAGCATTAGCGGTATCGATGTCCATAATTATGGATTCAGACCCTGACGTTTCTCTTCCTCGAGCATTGCGTCGAGCTCGTTGGTGAGATTGGTCAGCATATTGCCGATATCGCTGAGCACGTCGACGGGCTCGTTGCTTGCGCTGACTGATGGAGCCGTGGCATGATGATGATGATGATGGTGATGAAGATGATGATGCTGCTGCTGCTGTGAGATCATGTGACTCGGACTGTTGGCGTACTCTTGGGCAGCACGGGCTGCTCGCTGCTTGATCGTACCGGCGTTCTCGTTGGCGAAGGGCAAAGAGTCGGATTCCGTGCTCGAACTCGACTGGAAACGTTGCAATGATTAGTCTTGCCAGTGGAGCCGGCAAAGCATTCACACGACTCGCTCGTGGCATCATACCTTAAAACTAGCATCGGAACCGTTGCGATGCTGCAGGGCAAGAGTGGCGATGAGCTCGTGCTCCTCGTTCGGATTGGCGGGTACGCTGCCCCAGCTGCGCGACATGGACGACGGCGGTCGACTGAGTTGCACTGGCGTGGAGCTTGCCGGCGGTGAGGTTTGCGCCTGACTCGGCGGTGTCGACATGATGTGCTGAGGATAGTGATGCGGCTGCACCATTCGCTGGTGATGTTCGTCGCAAGTGGTCGTGGGCACGGGGCCGCTGCAGTCGATCACAATGTCACCGTTGTTGCTGGTGACGCTCTGATTGGAGCTCAAGTCACGCGAGCTGAGGCGTCGCGGCGGCGAGGGCGGACGCCGCTTGATCAGACTGGGACTGCTGTCGTGACCGTAGGTCAGCTGATACTTGTTCGTGTTGTCGAAGTCACGCGGCAGCGATTTGTACGAGCTTTGCGTCGCCTGGATCTGCGGAAAGAAGGTCTGCAACAGATTCGAGCGATGCACTGGTGCGCGCTGTGATGCCAGAGCGATGCGGGGAGACCGAGGTGGATGGCAACTTACTTTGGCGACGGGCCTCGGTCTGACCAAGCAGTGTCGTGGCCTGGGCAGCGTGCCGCCGCCAATGTTCTCGATGACGATCGCGTGGTGGTCGTTCGTCGGCGTGAGGTCGCCGTCGTCGTAGCTGCGCGGCCGCCAGTCGAGTATCTGCGGCGCGTGGGTCTGCGGCGCCGGCGAGGGCGGATAGCCGAGCGGCACGTCCTCGAGGCTCTCGAGCGACTTGCCGCGCGAGTTGGCGCTGTTGTTGCGGCCGATGGTGGCGTAGTCGAGGCCGCCTGGCAGCGCGGCGTACATGCTGCGCCAACTGACGTTGCCGCCCAGCGCCACGCTGTTGACGCTGCTGTTACTGCTGCTGCTGTTGCAGTTGCTGCTGGAGCTGGACGCGTTGTGGCCGGTGTCGGCGGGGCGCTGGAACGACCTCAGGATCGGCGACGAGCAGTCCTCGTCGGGCGATGGCAGGTCCGGCACGCCACGCTGAATGATCACGTCCTGCGAGCGATTGAAAAAATTAATTGATCGGTGGTGGTCAGTTGGGATCGACGCGGCTTACCTGCGTCTGTCCAGGATGCGGCGGCAGTCTGGCGAGGTCCAGCGGCTGGATGCGCTTGCCGGCCTTGATGTCCTTGATCCGCTTGATGGCCAGCAGCAATTTCTTCTGGTGGCCCAGCCGCACGATGCCGATGTCCTCGAGGTCCTCCCACGTGAGCGTGGTCACGTCGTCGACGCTCCTCATGCCCTGCTGGTGCAGAGCGCCGAGGTATTCCTCGAGCCTCAAGAGCCGCAGCCACTCCTCGAGCGATCCGGGCACGTGCTCGGGAAGGCCGTCGCCCGCGTTCAGGTTGTCGATCTCGGCCTTCAGGCGTTTCCTGTGATTCGGCTTCTTTATACCTGCCGAGCACACGGGCGCCTGAGTTTCGCTGGCTGCCAGTCGAAAAATTCGCGCGATCGCCGTTCCGCGAACGGATGTGACGAAGCTCCCGGCTACGCGGCGCAGCCGTCTACCATCGCCGCGGCCCTCCCTCCCCCTCTCGGTTCGCTCTGGCCGATGGCTTGTTTTTCAATCGCCTTTATTTCCCGAAGGACGCGCACGTTCGCTTTTGTGGTCACGGCCTTTTGAGCGCGTTTATTCGCAAATTTCAATTCAATTTGCAGCCGGTACATTGTTGGTCGCGACAATTTTGCGGCCGACCCTCGTCGACTGGCCGGCCGAAGCATTCAATTTGACGAATGGCCAGTTCCTCGCGGACGTGCGCGAAGAGTCGAACGTCGAATGAACGAACCAATGGCAGTGAGGTCCTCGGGCGTCATCCTCGTGATCGTAGCCAAGTCGTAACCAGCCGACGCAAAGTTGGGAAAGTACTCGTCGAACTGCAGCTCGGCGAGCCAAGCGTGAACGACGTCGAGATCGTTGGGCCGATCGGGGTGCGAGCCCAAGGAGCTGATCGAGCACCTCGGCGAGGAGGTGAGCGCCGACGATCCTGCGCTGCGTGGTCCGCCCAGATGATAGCCCGAGGCACGACCCGAGTCGAGCGAAGCCGTCGAGTGGCGGGAACCCGAGCCTGAGCCCGAGCTTCCTGGACTGTCCCTGCCGGGACTCTGCGTCATGTCGATTCCTGTGGGAAGATCATCGTTATTGTTTTTGCTTGTCGACGTGGGTCAAAGCCTCGTACTCGAGACAGTTTCACCGACACGCGCTCCAGATAGAACAAACAAACTAGTCGGCTGCTCGGATTAATGGGCGTTAAGTACGCCACGTATCTCGGACGCGTTTCATTAATATTTCCCGGCGTTCTTATAATCTCCTTAAGAACGTTACGACACGACAGCTACGAAGATTACTTGGCGGTGGTTCGTCTCGTCGATGCTTATTTTTCTTCTGGCGCGCTCCGTTGCTTCTCTCTTAGCTAATCCGAGAAACGGGGGGGAAGCAACAGGGCTTCGCCGAGGGCAACGGAGTCGTACCTTGGTCCTCGGCGTGAGCGTATTTGCCGACCATTGGTGGAAAGGAGAATCCAGGGTGAGTGAACATGGGTCCAGGGCTCTTGCCGGCGGGCATCCCGTAGGAGGAGTCGTCGCCCGCGGACGAGCCATTATTGCTGGTCGGCGCTTGCGGATGAGCGGAGGAGCCGAGGTTCTGCATCGCGATGGCTGTGCCGGGGCCTACGCCGCCGGGGATGCCGTAGCCGCCTCCGCAGCCGTCCTCGCTGCTAGCGTAGCCGGCCGAGCCGAACGACGAGCCCGAGTGCCGGAAGTCGCTCGGGACTGCGGGCGGCGCCACCTTCTTTGCCTGCGTTACTGCTTTCGACGGCCGACTCATACCGCCGACTGAAACAATTCAACGCATTTTCTTTTCTCATGCTTGGCAGTTTGCTCGCGGCTCTCGCCGCTCGTTCCGTTGACATTCACATCTTTGACAAGTTCTCCACCGGAAACCTCGTTGTTATGCGCTGGCGCGTCCTCGTTTTCCAGCTTTTAATAACGACCATTGCAACTCGACGACGTGATAATCGAGTAATCGAGTCGCCCAAGCCTTTCGGCGGAACAGCAATTTTAGTATGTATTGATCCGATATTTCACTCGTACTGCACGTAAATTATCTTACCGCTCCTTATAATTAACACTATAATCTGAATATCACCGTAACGGTAATATAATATCCGAGATCATTACGTCCACGCGTGATTACCGACGTGTTTGCATAACTTATTATTTCCAGGGAGAAAAAGAAAAGTGACGCATTTCGTTTTCCCTTCAGACCCACTTTTCAGTTTCGCCGAACAGCAGCGGGACGCAAAACGCAATTACGCCCGGCGCGCGGCGCAAAGTGTACAATTGTATAACAGCGGGCAAAAGAGGATATCCCGCCGAGAGAAAAAGCGCGTGTTTTTGCATAATTCCTGAAAAGCGACACCCGCAAAGAACGCGCGCGCGACAAAGAGCGGCCTCGGAATTGCCAAATTGTCGCCTCTGCCTCTACCCCGTTCTTCTTCGCGGCTTTCTTCGCGGCTTTCTTCGCGGCTCCGAGAAAGTCGATAAATCAGGAGAGATGCGCGCCGCTTTCTTTTTTCTTCTTCTTCATCTTCTTTCACAGATTGTTATCCGCCGATCGTTGATTGGCCGCGTATTCTTTTTTACAGTTATAACAATGCCCGCGCTCCATCGCGAGAAAATCGTAAAAACCGAGACGCTTGATTTATCGGTTATTGGCTGCGTTGCGCGCCACATGTGGGTCGGCGTGTCTTTTGATTGCCAATCTGCGGCGCGCTGACTTTAATTTCCCTTAATAATTCAAGCCGCTGCGCGTGGCCTTGCGGCCCGACGTTTTTGCACGTTTTTTCGTTTTTCTTTTTCGGCGAAAACGTATTCCACGTCTCGCGATATGCGACAAATCGCGCGGCTCTATCGGCCTGAAGCGTATACCAATCCCAAAAATACGATGACATTTCCGTTCACGCCCGTCCTCGCGCGAGCGATTTATCATCCGTGAACGCGGCTAAGCGAAAAAAAAGGAGAAAAGAAAGAAAAGTTTCTTTCCATCGTGGACGGGAGATAGCTAAGTCGGCGTCGAGTCAATTTCGAAAAAGCCAAGCTCGAAAAACCGGCGCTGAGCTCTCGACACCGCCTTATACGTAGCGAGTGGTGCAAGCAGAGAAAACAGGTTCTCTTGCACACGCGCACACACACACACACACACACTTGCGCGCGCGCGCGTTTTAAATTTAAAAGCGAACCAGTTTTCTCTTGTATAGCCGAGCAAAAATCTCTCTTTCTCTGCTCCCTTCATCCCGCGAAGGCCGAATACGTCTCACCGCGTAGCTCCGCTCTCGCGACCGACGAACCGCGACTGTTTGGTCCGCGCTCTTTTTCTCGCCTCTCGGTCCGTCAGCTCGCGGGATGGGTTATTATTTGCGTTCGCTGCCGACAAATCGGCTTCGTGGCGCACGCGAGCCGATCTTCTCTCTGTCTTTCAGACGTACGTCAGCTTTCGCGCGCGAGCGCAATGGGTTTTGCGCGCGGTCGACGAAAAGTCAGACGCGACGCGATTAGTTCAGTCCCGGACAACAGACCAAGCCAGATGTGCGCCTGGAAACGACTTTGAATGTCGCGCAAGCAAGAGCGTACGACGCGGACGGACGAAGGCTTACGGAGTTGCATTCGGAGCGAACCGCGGCGAGGAGCTCGAAGCGCGAATGCCGCGTACGCGTCAATGGCTTTGCGCGCTCGCACGTGCTGGCCGTTCCGCGGCGCGGACCCGAAAGAAACGAGGAAATTCACTTCCGGCCGCCTCGCTCCGAATGGCGCTACACGCGCGTGCTTGTTTTAACATCCCTCGGACACCTTTGACGAGAGATTCGTTCCGTCGGCACGAGTGACGACGGCGAGTCGTCGCGCCTCGAGTGGAAACGACGACGGAACTCGGCTGATCCACAAACGTACGAGTACGTTTTCTTTTTGTCCTTTTCGAAATATCGGCGGATTTCGCGGCCGCTCAAAGTGGGCACTCGAGAAAGTAGGGCGCAGTCGCGGGGAGGGAGAGAACGACTGAAACGCAGTCGGATCTAAGTCGGCGTTGGCACGGCACCGCGGCCGAGAAAGACAAAGAGAAGAGCGAACGGAGCGCGCGGGTCGGGCTCGTAACTCAATATTGAAGTCGCTGCCGCTACTCGCGACGCCTCGAAGAGACCTGCCCGCTCCTCGGCGCCAACGCGGCACAGTTGGAAAATCGTCGCCTCTGGCAACGCCTCGGTCCAGGCAGCGCAGCGTCGCATTCGAGTCGTAACGACTTTCGGGGGCAGGCGACGCGCCAAGCTTTTTTCTACGGGCCACGTCCGAGCAATTTCAGGAGTGGGGTCAGAAAGCGCGATCGATCATCCTCGAGGACAAGAGACACGCCGCGTGCGTCGAGAGACGGCGCGAGCCGTAGTCTTGGAAAATCCGGCGCCCCGAATGCAGCGTCACGCGGTCAGCCGAACTTTTAGTCGCCTAATCCCGAGAGCTCGCCGCCGGGGACGAACGGAATTCTTTAGAATTGTTTGGCGGTGATGTTTACCGCGAGCGGTGCCAACCGCTGCGTGGCTCTCGTGCGGCTTCGAGATCGCGTCGCTCTTGTCCGTTCAATGTTAAATGACGGCTTTTCAGAATCGAATGAAAAATAATTACTCCCAGTTGGATTCTTATTTGAACGAAAATTTAACAATTTTAGTATTCCGATCATCGAATTTTCTATCTTTTACAGTCCAAGAATGTACAACAGTGTCAACAAATAACCATTTCCCCTAAGCATCTGTGTCCTAACTAAAAGTCATCGCCAAGCAACGATTACGTTAGAGGCGAGAAAAAATGGAGAGCCGGAGGTTAATCGTCACTTAAAACGAGAAAAAGCGTCCAGTCGACAGAAACAGTCAGAGAGAGAGAGAGAGAGAGAGAGAGAGAGAGATAGGGACATGTCGCAACAAACAGCTCGTTAGCTGCTAAAGAACCCTATTGGGCAAAAACTTTGTTTCGCACTCTCTCGGAAAAAAGGAGCGAGTTGTCCGAAGCCTCAACAGATCAAGAGTTTAGTGGTGGCTGATTGATGAGTCTCGCACTCACTATACGCGTCTTTGTGTGTCGCGTTCCAGTTTCGCGCCTCGTAGTCGCGTGGGGGAGAGAGAGAGACGACGACGCCGCCAACACGTGTTCTCCATTTGTAGAAAATGGGCCGAGATGCATTATGCAGTTCGTGGCCGTACGTACGTATTGGTTAAGTGTCAGCTGCAAGCTTTAAGCTTCGAGGGCTACGGATCGAGCATCTGCTAGCCGTTGTATCCGTCAGAGCGCGCAGCAGCTATTGGCAGGTTTATATTTAGGATGAGCGCCAGTTTGCTGCGATGGTATCTTCGAAGACGGGAGCCACGACCTACTACAGCGGAAGTTTTCAATGCGGTCGGCTCGCGGATCGCGAAAAGTCGAAGAAACAGAAACGGAACGCGAGAAATGACGCCGCGAGCAGAGTTTTCGTCGAGCGAACGACAGCGTACTCCAAATGTTTACTCGGTCGCGCAAACGTGCCGATCGTCAAGAGGAACGACGCGCGAGCAGCGATAAAAAGCTGAAGGAGAGTAGTACGGTGATCTCGCGAACGTGCATGCGCAACAATAAAAAAAAAAAGAAAGAAAGAAAGAAAGAAGAAAAAACGACAAGAGGAAGCAACGAACGGAGCGATAAATTCGCAGATCTAACGAGCGAGTGATAAAAGAAAAAGGACGTGCACGCGAAGATAACCGAAACGACACGCTCCCGCGCGTATATTTCCAACGAGCGCAAGCTCGAAGCACGACGAAGTATTCGTGCCCGCGCGCGATTCACGACAAAGACGAAGGAGAAAAGAGAAGTCGCGGCGTCTCATTTGTTCCGAGACGCGAGAGCGCGGCGAGATAACTGGGGCAGCATTCCCGCGGATCGGTGTCGTCGCGTTCAGCTCCGGTCTTGTCCCGACGCTGAACGCAAGCGCGAGACACGAGATCGGCGAGGGATCGGAGGATTTTTCCGCGAAGGCGGCGCTACCGAGAAACAGCGACGTCTCGCCGAGTGAAAAAAAACGACGAAAGCTGCCTTTCCAGGCTTTTCCGGCAACTCGCGCGAGCGCCTCGTGCCAGGTGTGTCCGCGCTACAAACGAGCTACGTGTAAACGCCGATCTGCAATTGGCGATCGCTCGCAAGCTCGGCCGGGCCGAAGGCTCGAGCGAACGGCGCACGCTCGGTCGAGTCCTCGTTATTGTCACGCATCACGCGGGGGGCTAATAACGCGCGCGTCGCGGCCGAGGCGTTCACCTTGCACCGAGCGGCATCGCGCGAATCGGATCCGATTGAAATCCAGAGCTCGACGCTCTCCTCACTAGTATCGTTACGAAACGAGATCTAACGCGCCATTGCCACACCGTCGGAGTGGCCGTCAAATTTGTACGTTACACACCGGCGGAAGTGTGTCACGACAACCAGATACCAGCGACCCCTTTGGAAAACTCGCAAAAGCGTTGCTCGAAGAAGAGCAAGAGCATTCCGTCGCGAAGCGGTCCCGGCAATCCGTCATGCACAACCGTAATTGCAGGCTCTCCCCCGGCGAGATTTTTGCGCGCCTGCGCTTACGAAAGAGACTGGCCGGCCTATGCAAGGCTACACGTGGGCGTAAAATGCAGTAAAAGCCGCACTGTACTAGTCGCGCCGGGCAACGGCCGCCGATATCAACAGGTTGGCCAACCAGCGCGCCCCGGCGAATATCGCTCGTTTCAACCAACGACCTTTGCTGCGCATTCCACGCACTTCTGTTTAACGCGCTCCGACAGATTATGAATATCTGCGAGATAGGCTTTTACAAACTTGTATTTCCTTATTTCATTTATCTACATTTCTTGTTATTGGTGCCTTGCCGAAGTTACGTCTGACACGTCTCTCTCTCTCTCTCTCTCTCTCTCTCTCTCTCTCTCTCTTCGCTTTTTCTTTTACCATTATTTTTTCGCACCTCGCCCGGCGAACGCGCGCAGCGCCAGCGTCAAACACATTTTTACGAGCGCATCGAAAACGCCCCGGCAAAAGAGTCACGCAGAGTACATTATGCAAAATAATTACTCGCGGCGACGCTCGAATAAATCACCGTTTCTCCTCGGCCCCAAATCGCTAGCAATAACGAACTACTCGCCCGATGAGTTATTGCAGTGTTGCGTCCGCGACAAACGCCTTTGATCGCCATCCGGGGAAACGATTGCACGACTTTGTACGTAACCGCGACTTTATACGTTCACTCGGTCGAATCTAAAAGGAGGAATAAAGCTGTCACCGGCAGCGCGCCGCGCGACTATCGGAGATTTGTCAAATGCGAAAATACAGAACCATTAGATAAAGTCGTTTGGCCAATTTGCAATAATTACGATTCTAAACGAGTGGCAATTTGCGCGAATAGATATGGCTCGAACTCGCCGTCGCGTTGATCAAATGGTCGACAGAAGAGTGAGAGAGAAAGGCGACGCGCACCTCGTTCGGGGCGCGAGCTTGTAATCTCCGGCCGGTCGTTTCGTCGTTGCCCGCAGCTGGCCCCGTGCGCGAGCCGCGTCGCCGGCTAAAGAGCGGCTACCGCCGACCAGTCAATTCGAGCGCAAGGGGCTTCGGAGCTTGGACGCCGCGACGCGGCAGCGCTAGTTGTAATTCCGTCGGATTGCATAGGCAAAGGTCGCGGGCGCGCGTGCGCAAATGAAAGCTGCGCGCCGAGCCTGCCGTGCGGTGGCACGGTGCGCGATATCCATCGGCCGCAGCTGGCTCTCGAGCTATTTGGCTGATCGCTCCCGCGCCGGCGTTATCGCGGCCATTCTTTCGGACGCGGGGGCCAGAGGCAAAGACCCCTCGCCTGCTACTCGCACGTGGCTCGCAAGAGTTATGGCGCGAGTTATTTCCCTTCTTCCTCGGCGGCGATCGTCGCGCAGTTGGCGTCCTTGGAAACTGATTCCGTCAACGCGTCCGCCGCGACGCAGACGGGCCGTTCGTGACTTTTTTACGACGCTGCGTCTGCGATACGGAAATGAACGTGTAATTGCGCCGGGGAACGTAGCCTCGTCTATACGTCATTGTTTTTGCTCCATGTCGCGAATAGCCTTTGCAATACATTAAACTTAACGCTTCCCATTCGCGCGGCTTCCTATCTATAATTTCGCAAGCCAGTGAGTTTTGGTTTACGGTCTAGAAAAGAAGAGAGAAGAGAGAGAGAGAGAGAGAGAGAGGCAAAAAGGCTTGTAAACGGTTTTGCCGTTCTCTCAAGCGCGCAGCTCAAACGCTCCAGCAGCGTGCCAGCAGTAGTCCCTGGCTGCCGACACTGATGGCTGATTTGACGGATCGAAGAAGAGGGGCTCGCTCGAGCCTTCTTGCGAGAGCCATTCGCCGGAGTACTTGCCGAGCCGTGGCCTCTTTGGTTTCGGCCGGACGATTACCCAACGGACGAAGCTCGGCGGGCAAGCAGATTCGCGCGTTGGCATCCCTCGAGGCGTGCTTCGCGGAAAGTAACGTGAACCGGCAGCAGCAGCAGCAGCAGCAGCAGCAGTCGCAAGAGTCTAACGCCCACCGTTACGACGTACGAACGGAGACGCCTTATGCGGACGAGCTCGCTTTGAAGAGAAGAAACGTACACTCCCCCTCCTTCTTTAACGGATAGATCGGTCATTCCAGCATCGCTACCACTGTTATTACTTGTCGCTTACGGACACATTCGCTGCTGCTGCTGCTGCTGCGCTGCCGTCTTCGTCGCACTCGACTGGCCTGGCAATATCAAATCAATTACTCGTCGCTGGTGCTGGTCGAGTTCAACGTTCTATTGACTTGCGAGGGGGAGCCGAAGAAAGCTTGGCGTGCGAGAGACGGGTGGCGAGCCTTCTCCATTTTTGGCGCACTCATCGAAGGGCCACGAGCATCGTCGAAATTATGACCCACATTAGCCGAATCGTTGTGAATCACGGTGATTTATGCGTGACGCGTCGCTGGCGTGCGCCGCTATTCATCTTTATTACAATACCTTTGGTGTGCGCGATATAAGCGGCATACATAAATTCATAAACTGTAATCCTTGCGAGGCCCAACTGAATTGTATTCGGCGCGCGAGGAGAAAAATAGTAAATGTCAACATCACTCACCCTCCTACGGAACGCTTTTACGTATAGGCGAGATAAAGTGCCGAGATGATGGACTTACCTGAAAACAGAAATTAAAGCAAACGTTAGGCTGGTTCGCGCGTATTTGCGTGCTTGCGAATGACGGGGGGCCGCCGCGCAGGTCGACACAATCTGGATCGCCCAAGATCGCTTTTTTGCGCGGGCGTTCACGCGACCAGTTGCGATCAACGCAGGGAAAAACTCCAAAGAATGTCGACTTGTCAACGGCAGCAGCTGCTACTGCACCCTTTCGGCTTCTCGTGAAATGATTGAAAGTAACCTTAACGACACCTCCAATTAGAGCTGCGGGAAAATCCCCCCTCCCTCCCCTTCGCCCTCAACCCTGTTGTTCATCGCGTAAAGCACGCATTGGCACGACGAACACGCCGATGGAAATCTTAATCGTCGCGGCGATTATCGCCGTGCCATGTATATTTGTCCACGCGCGAGTGGCAAAAGTAATGAAAAACAAAAATAAAAATGGGTTGGTTCGCTCGCAACCTCGATGTTGCTCGAGGAGGCTGGTTGCGTCAATGATAACGGGCGTTTTTATGCTCTTTATGGGGCTTCATTTTGAATTTAGTGCCTTTTTAGTCGTCCAAATGGCGTCGGTCCATGCGAGTTTGCAATAATATCAGTCGTTAGCGTGGCCCGATAAATCGTCGTCCGCCATTTTTCTCGACGGACGACGCACGAAGCACGCATTTAGGAAAAGGATCCTTGGCTAACGCCACGCCAGACGTGAAACCGACCGAGCTCGCAATGCACGCTCAACGGATTTCTACCAATGCTCGCGATCGACATGTCAGTCGGACATTACTCAATGGCCCATCTCCGGCAACTCCTCTGACCAATCTCGAGCGTCGTTCCTCTCGTGCATCTGCTGACCGAGAACGATGCCATCGTCGGTATGCAAGTATACGCTTACATCGCTTAGCCGACGACGAAACAACTCTCTTAACGGTATACATCAGTTCTCGAAAACCTCATAATTCTATCCGCAAAGCAGAAGAAAACGAAGCTAGACGCGCACGCGGCCCTCGCGCGGAAACTTTCTTCCTCCACGCGCGTGAAACCCACGAGAGAGCTATAAATCAGATCGGAACTGCGCCCGGTAAAAATCATTGCCCGCACACGCGCGTGCGTTGCTTCCTTTTCATCGTCGCGGGAAACGGCGAAGCCGCGCTCGCGGCAGATTGGACCCAAGTGGAAAAACTCGCCGAGCGGTGCGCGCGCGTGCCGAATGTGGTGCGTGCGCGTGCGAGGGGCCGATGAAAAGTCTCGCTCCGAATGCGGCAGCACACACCTGTGCGCGCGCGCGCGACCCATGGTGACGCACACTCGGATGATTCACGTCGGATAGAGCAGTGCCGCGCACAGAGATTTCATTTCGAGAGAGCTAGATAGGCGAAGCTCCATCGAGTCGCACGGATGATGACCACACGCGAGTTGTTAGGCGGAATCGAGCACAGGGTTATACGCGCTGCCGGGGGAATGGAGATGACTTTCCATGCGCTCGCAGCTTCGTCGCTTTTTAGTTCAATCCGAGAGAGAGAGAGAGAGATGGACTATGATTCGTGGAAGTTGATTAACTGGAACGAAGGAGAGCGAAGAGAGGCGAAAAAACAAATTGTTGGCGTGCGCGGAGTGCCGTTAAATGGCAGCTGGCGGCCATATAAAGCGAAGAAACCGGCGTCCCTGTTGCCTACACCAAAAGCGTATCCAACTCACGCTGCATGAGGTTGCGCCAACTGCCGTAGATCGCCTTGATGCAGCGATCCAGAGGCGTGGCGGCGGCGGCGGCGGCGGCAGTCGGCGACGACATCTGCTTTTTACCCCGCGCGGACGCAGTCAAGTTGCCCTCGGAATGACTGCGAAACAGGTTGACGCCGCTTGGCTTTCCGCGCTGCTGTTGCTGCTGCTGTTGCTGCTGCACCGGCCGCCCGCGCGACGGACTTGTCAATGCGCTCGACGACGAGTAAACACTCGCACGTTCCGTTGGCCTGCTGCCCGCTCTACGGCGTGTTTATTGTCTCGTTTAGTCGTTGCGATTCTTGATTTTCGGCGGAGGATGTCGCGAGCGTGCGCGCCGTGTGCCCTATTTTAGCGTTCACTGAAATATCGATTGGCGCGCGAGAAGGGCCAGAAAAAGGCGCGATCGTCCGATTATCCGGTTTAGATCTAGGCGATGAATATTAATGAACTTGACCCAAAGTCTAAGGTCTGTCGATACGTATCTTTGTAACATAGCTATCAATCCAACTGGGATATTTACGTTTCGACTGTGCATACTGGAATTCACTCAAATTGATGTTTTTCACTTGGAAATCGCGTAACACGCAACACACCAAAATCAAGTGACGAAGCACACCGACACACACGCTCGATATCCTGCCGTCTCTAAACGCAATAATCAATCTAACCGAGTGGTATTCGTGTCATCGATGAGCTTGACGTCACCAAGATCAAATCCATCGACGTCATCGACATCGTCGGCGTCGTCGTGCGAGGACGTCGTTGGTGTACTGACCCGCTGACTTGGCGGGATCCATGCCTCGAGGCTGGGATCGCGAAAGCTCCGGTAAGTCGGACTAACGCCAAGCTTTCGACTTGCGCGGTGTAGCAGTCTCTTGCCTGGTGGTAATGGCGGCGGACCTCCGCACGTTAGCGATACCATTTCTTCTTTTTCCCAAAGTCGAGCTGACAGGTTCACCTGATACGAGATCACGGAGTTTTCGCCTGTTTTCAGAATTTTTCACGAGTGCGAGTCACGCGACTGGTGTATACATGTAAATTTCGCTTACTCGACTGAACGCGTCGACTAAGTTACGAGTAAATTTACTCGAAAAAGCCATTTGCGCTAAGAAGTCGCATCGTCGAGATGTATGCAAACAGTGAGTTCATAGAAACTGGAATAAATTACGGGAGAACGAACATACTCGTCGGTATTGATCTTTTTCGTTTTCTTTTTATTCTTTTTTTTCTCTTTTTTGAAAGCCCGTCGAAAAAAATTCAAGTTTCTTAAAGCCGGCAAACGAGATCTCTCTCGCGCAGCCGCCGCCGCCGCGCCGTAAAAGGAAAAGCATCCCGAGCTTATTTCTCTCAATTCGAAACTCGTCGATTGACTTATGCAACGCGCGCCGACGTAACATTCGCTCATTGTTTTGTCACCGCGCCGCTACTTATATAGGCGTCACGCGGTAACGTCGATTTTGCTCGCTTGGCGCTCCACTGAGGGGAAATCCGAAAATTATCTCGGGAAAGCTTGTTCCTCTTCGCGTGACTAAAGCCAGGCGCGTGACTCGCCAACTTCTCGGTTCTCACTTCTTCCTCGCTGGCCTTTTGGCAATCCAAGAGCAAGGGAGCTTCCTTTATAATGTTCCTCTTGAAAACGCCATCGAGCACTCTCCCCACATAACGGATCAGGACGACCACTCCAGGGACGACTTTATCGACTCTTTCTTCCTCCTCTTCTTCTTTTATTACACTCGACTTGTTTTGCTTTTTGTTCGTTCGTTCGTTCGTTCGTTCGCTCGTTCTCTCTCTCTCTCTCTCTCTCTCTCTCTCTCTCTCTCTCTCTCTCTCTCTCTCTCTCTCTCTCTCTCTCTCTCTCTCTCTGGCGGCAATGATCTAGCGCGTAGAACCTCGTTTTTTCGAAACTTGGAAAATGGAAACTCGCGCGGTTCGTCGAAGCCACCCCTCGGAACAACGAAATTCAATCGTCAGTCGCAGCGCGAGGCTTCTAATCTCCGCGACGAGGCCGCGGCTTGGCGATGTCAAGCGACACTCGTATCTCGCGCGCGTGAACGCACAGCAGTCTCTCGCGACGACGCGCCGACGACGTGCAGCGCACTGAGCGAGACGGCGCGTTTGGTCCTCCCTACCGCGGCGCGCCGGAAAGACGAGCAACATCCATCCGCGACGGAATATGTATGAACGCGCGCGCTCATGGGTGGGGAGTTCCACGCGAGGGCGAAAGTGGGTGGACTGGTTTCCGGCCTGGCGCGTGGGCCTTCTCTCGAAAAATCTCGCGCGTGGCACAACGCGCGTGGGCCCTTCCCTCTGTACACCGGCATAATAAATGCTACGGGGAGGAGAACGACTTCCCCCTCTCTCACTCTCTTTCTCTACGACGATGAGGACGATGCGCAGCTTCCTTTTTTCACCGACGAGTAACTGCTTATTATTTCGGCTTTTTTTCGTGCCATTCAAAGTATGGGGCTCGTTTTCTATTTTGATTGTGCAGCTGAAAATTGTCTTTGCAGCGAGAGAGAGAGAGGGCGAGACGAATTCTCCTGCATAATAAATTTCGCGCGTTGTGCATTATACGTCGCGAATATGAATCGTTGAGGAGAGAAGCCGCACGCGCGCATACGTTATACACGCACATTCGCAGCGAGATGCGATGGTAATCTTGCGCGAAGCTCGATTAATTAAGCGGCACAGGAAACGTATACGCGCGTGTACGCGCGTGCCTAAGGGAAACAGGCTTTTAATTTATGAAAGTCGATTAGTTTTCTCGAACTTCTCTGTGTAACTTCGACTTAGCGTGTTTATTTTTTCATCTCGATCCCGCATCTCCGCGGAGAGAGGTATTAATTGCACAAAAACACCTACCGTTATAGCTCTCTAACCACATGGCGACCGGGGGAAAAAACAACACCGAGCGCGCCATGAGAATTTTGCCTTGGAGTATTGTTGAAACCGCAGCGAGGACTGTGGAAAACATTGATCCTATTCATGAGAGAGAAAGAGAGAGAGAAAGTTTCGCGGACGACGTTTTGACACTCGTATGGTCACGAAACAAAAGAAAATAAAAAGGGACAAGTGAAATCGCGTATCGAGAGACACTTTGGTTTTTCGTCGTCGCTTAATGGCCTTTCACGGAATGGACGAATGGCCGAGCGAGCGGTGAACATTTCAAATTATGCGGCGTTGCTTTATTTTTTCCATCTGTCTTGTCCCGGCTCGTTCTACTTTTCCGCAGCGCTGGATAAAAAAAAGAGGAAGAACCTTCGGTCTTTTTCAATTAATCTCCCTCGGGTTTCTGCTAATGGGGCGTCTCGTCATTTTTCGCTTGCCACGCACGCTTCCGCGGGATTCGATATCTCGAGCTGCGTCCTGCCTTCGCCGACGAGCAGCGCACGAGATAGCTCGATGAATTTTCACGTGGACGCCCTGTAACAGAACTCGACATTTCTGTATACAGGAAATGAAAGATGCGTACATCGCTCATCGCGTTCATCTTGTGAAATTCAATTGTCGAAGAAAAATAATCGAATCGGAGAGGGAGATAAAAGGCGTCGATCGAATGGCCGCTGCATTCATGGAAAGGTAGGCAAGCATTCAGAATAATAAGCTATGCGTGTGGACCACCCCAAACAAAAATTTATTCGGACACGTTCCGCGCGCGACGGAAGACCAAAAAAGGCGTTGGTATGGCTCATTACAAAGGCGTCGCACGCTTTCTCGTGGAAGGAAAACGGCGATCAACGCGATGTCCGTCTTTTCATTGATAAATCCAACGGGGATATACGTTTGTTCGTCAAGGACGTCCTTACACGGATTATTGAGCAATCGCGTTAACGCATAATGAGATGAGAGACCTCAGGCGTCGGTAGGCAGTGCGTGAGTCATCGACTTGTGGCTTTATGTTTCCACGCGTGTCCCTGGAATGCTGTGTGTCTATTCATTGCGCGGGCATTAATAAACAATGCAACACCAGTATATTGTTTATTAACCGTGCATTATCGTTACGCACTTTATTTACATTTCGTTGCTCTTTCAATAGAATTTCACCATTCGGCAATCCAAGCATTAATTAATTCACTTGTTTTACGTGGCTTTCGTTCTCATTTCAGCTTCCCCGCGTTCGAATTAGCATAACGTAACACTTCTTTTTTCCTTAGAGCCTTGCCGTATACATCTAATCTCGAAACTAAACGAGCTCGTGCGCGTGGGCGCGTCCGCGACGCATAAAATTATTTGGATTCCGCTTGTTATTTATTTTAAAAACCAATTCTAATTTCTTATCTCGTGGTTAACTGCCTCGGTATGGAAAGCATTTTTCTTCGGATATGCAACGGAGACATGATATGATGCGTATATATATATATTTGCAACCCACGCGATTTCATCGAGTGCGAGAAAATTGTAATGTGTGCAAATCTGCTCGAGTTTTGAAAAAAAATGACCACGTATTGGTTAAAGAATTCGACGTGAGAGGAGCTCAATAAATGACCAAGCCCAACAACATGCAAAAGGAGGAGGACCGTTGGAGTATTCCGTCTAGCCTGACAACAATAAAAATGCATTTCTATGCAGTGGGTGTATGTGAAGCAACCACGGCCACTCAAGTAACCAGGTAGCTTGAATATTGCGCCAAGCCGATATGAATGGACAATGGCTACTCGAGAAATAAGAAAACTTAGAAGCCGACTGATCCTGATAAATAGATTAAATAAAAAACTCAACTTGATATCTAGCTTTCATTGTTTCCAAGCTGATTTCTTATTAAATGCTTGGGAATGGATCCTCCAATCGAGTACGTAATAGCCTTAATGGCGCTAGCTTTTGCATGATAATTAGTACAGATACTACAAAACGAGAGTTTTCAAGTTAATGAGCGTCTTATCGCGAGTCACTCCACGGAAGCAGTACATTCATCAAAAAGCATGCCTGAAGCAGGTAACAACGACTAATTACTCGTGTGTCGCGTCTCGCGGCAACAGCAGCACTCATAGAAATCACGCGAGAGAAAAAAAAAGAGAAATAACAGAAAGACCTTTGCTCGAATGTTTGCATGTCTAATCTCATCACGCACTCGAGAGGGGTTGTGACACAATACACGTGTCGTCGAGAGGTAAAAAGAGAGAGAGAGAGAGAGAGAGAGAGAGAGAGAGAGAGAGAGAGAGAGAGAGAGAGAGAGAAAAGTGGACTCATCGAGACTCTGCCTTCTCTTTTTGTTTCTCGTCTGCGAGGGAGCGAAGGCGAGTGGAAAAAAAAACGAAAAAGCGGAAGTTGCCGTCGGAGATTGATCGATTGCGTTTTCGCCAAAGCGAGCGCTTCTTCTGCATTTGTGTACGTGCACTTGTGTGCCAGGATACTCAACTGGCTTGCGATTCGTCGAGCTGCACTCCTTCTCTGATGGATATCTCGTAGGTTTTGACAGGCGCGCGGTGCTGTTACGCTCGCGACCGAGAGTGCGGGTGAGTCTGCGCGAATTTCGTGCCAAAAGAGGCACGGGAGGGGGAGGTGCGCGGTGCCGGTTACGCGTTATTAATTTTCCGCTCGCTACTTGATCCGTGGGTAATTAATTCGAAATCTCTTCCTCCGAGAAGCTACTTACGCGTCTCTTCGTTTTATCGATTAAACCAAAGCAGACGAAGAAGCCGAACGCTAAGATGGGCAATAGAGGTGACCGAGAAACATAACAATGAATATAAAGGAAAAATGCGCCATTAAAAGAAAGAGACAATCACGCGTAGGTGTTTCTACGAGCAAAGCTGCGCCCAGGCAAAGGCGAAGTCTTATACCCCGGAAACGAGTATTTCGATTTTGGAAACTATCCCCGAGCTCGATCGCCCTGTATAAACGAAGGACGGATTAAGTGTTCCGTGTTTTTATCGCGCACTATCAGCCCTCGACGTGGAAAGGAGTAAAAAAGAGAAAAAAAAAAAAAAAACACAAACAATCGGAAGCGCGCATTATGCAAATGGTTCGAGGGCTCACGCGATTTTCGCGCGCGGAACGAAAGACTTGTTTGGCTTTCTCTAATTAATTCGACCGAGATGAGGGTGACAGATTATTTCATACAGGCGGTTGTGTGTGCGACTCGCCGCTTAAACCTCATTTACAATTTCGATCAAGACGCCGAGGCTTGCGATTTCTTTTGTGGCGAATTTGACTCCTGTATACCGCGGTGCGCGAACATCTGCGCGCCTAATTAAAAAGAAAAAAAATCTGTCGCGCTTTGCGGGCTGCTGAATGTACGCGTCAAAACCGTTCAAAGGTTTTCGAGTGGTGTCGACAGATGGTACGATCGACGAAAATTTTATTGCGTTAAGATACCAAGTTGTTATTATACTTTGTTTCTATAGAGTTTTTCTTTTTCTGCTTTAACAAAACGACAACTATAACGAATAGTAAAGCCGTTTTAGGGTAGCGTAGCACGCGTGTTTTTGTGTAAAAATCGAACGTGAAGTGACTTCCACACTCTAATGTCGGCACGGTGAAAGCCACGATCAGCTATGGCAACAATCGACATCCGCAAAAGGAACGCGCGTACGAAAATCAATTAAGCGATTTGAAAGGCAAACCGCAATAAAACGCGTTGGCGCTGGCGCTGCTTTGTCAGTCATACGCACGCGTGGTGTCGTCGCGTGCGCACGGTACATTAATAATCCCATCACACTTGAACAGCTCGCGAATGAGGTGTGTAGAGCCATGCGGCACT